GGAAAGTAGGGCAACGAGATACTCGCTGCACTGAACTACGATAAGTTACTGTTGGGAACATTTGTGCAGACTTCAAAGTTCCACTAACCTCCTAATGTGTATGCAAGGGAAGCTCCACAAAATATTGCTGGTTTCTTGTCACTTATGGGAGACAGTAGAGCAACACAACACGCACTGCACACCACCGAAAAGTGGCCAGACGAGGACGGAATAAGGTTGCAGGGAAAATGAGGTGTAGAAGTATACACCACTTGTGCAACCCTGATCATATCTATCCACCACTTCTGCACATCAAGGTTGGTTTGATCAAACAATGCGTGCGTCAAAGCCCTCAAGCGAGATGGTTTTAGCGTTCCAGCACCCCAAGGTGCCGTTAAGTCGGAAGTCCCAGCGACAGAGCTATGGTAGTTTCCCGTTTTGCTTGTATATTTGTTCCCACTCCCAGCTAGTAAACGGTTCCAAACGCACGCCATAAGTGAGCGGTGGAGAGCCGTGCCATACATGTTCCACGGATCTCTATCTCGTTCGCAACAAACGGGACATAGTAGTTAGTGTAAAGGCAGAATTATACTCAAAAGAACTATTGTTTCAGCAAAAACGGTTTAGATCAAAGGTGTTTTGCTAAAGCATCAAAAATTTTCACTTACGTCATATGTGTTCACGTTTCGGAACGGTTGGATGGGCTTCGTATAGTTAATTTCAGCTACTGACCCGGCTATAATAGGGACTGAAGATCTCCAGGAGGATTTACAGAGTCAGCTAGCGTCTTTGTTTAAAATGCTTTGACTACTGACTCTATTTGGGAGTCGAGTTTGCAAAGAGATTGTTTTCAACCAGAAGCGTAACAATTTGGAGGATGTAACATTAAGCGAAGACAGCGTTATTTGCGAGATGAGTCACTCGGATACACAGAGGGACGGGTGTAATTAGGAACAACTCAGATGAGAATTACACGTTATAAGGTACAGAACAAACCTCATTCTGAAGATGCCAAACGCCACTGGGAAGATTGGCATCTGCGGCCTGAGTAGGAGCCCGACAGGTAGGTAGGATGCGGCATTCAAAACCGGCCATGGCGAAAAGTAGATTCGGGTTATCCTTGCTGTACACAGAAACGAAACTGTTATCCCAGTCAGTTGTGGTGATGGATCGCGGGATGCGATTCTTAATATCCCAGAAAACCGCCCGGCCCAAATTGACGTCATGTTTCATTAAACGCATGCGACTGTCACGCGGCCAGCATTTTTTATTATTATATCCGACTATATTTTCATTGTTAGGATCCGGATGTTCCGTGAGGTAGCGTTGTATCAAATCGCGAGCCTCCTCGGCGGTAAATCGGAAAAACATCCAAAAACGATCAACATAGCGACAGTAAAGTCGGATTGGATGTGCGACCTCTGTCGCTGTGTCCTGTAGGATGATAAAGAAGCTGTTATGAAAACAGTCAGATGTAAAAACAAAGGGGGGTAAAATGACGAGAATCGAGGGGTCAGGCCACAGTAAATAGAGCAAACTACCAAGAACTGAAAAAGCTACAGGTGTCAGTATGAAACTGCAACACCTTTGGAACTATAACGGGGTGCTATTGGTCTTGAATTCTGCGCACATTTGAGTCAAGGTGCTTTCGGATCGTTGACCATTGTGCACACACGTGAACGCTCGTGTCGCGCAGCATCAGCGCTTTTGCAGATGTGGTGCGGGAGAGTGATGAAGAAACTAATACATCAGATCAAATAATAGGACTGGATAAGTCGCATTGATTCGAACATCTATTCCCGCCTACTACTTATAGTAGTAGTGGTAATAGTATGGGCAGCAGTCTATTAAAGGCAGAGCCGACCTGTGTATCCCATGGGTTGAGGTACACGCAGCCCACCTGGCTTGAGAGTAATGGACGCGACATGCAATCGGCACTAAGAGTATGTCTACTGTAACCTACTGGAAGGATTACAAGTGTTAATAGTATGCGGTACTAAGTTTTTTATGAAATCAGGATAAACAAAAAGTGGGACTGTAGCGTGTTCGAAAGTATCCTTGCTGCACTCTGAAAAGTAAGAGATCGCTGCTTCTTTATTAGATAGCTATCGTAGTTTCTTCTGTTTGCTCCCCTATTCTCGCTTACAATACTGTTGAGCCAGCTCTCCAATCTAGCTCGGTCTCTTACTGGGTGGTTGTCATAATACCATCCAACCACCTACGAAGTACCTGCTTTTCTTTTCAGCCCCATCGGTTTCTGGTGACGAACGCGGAGGCATTCTGAATTCCGATACAACACATGCGTGTGAAGTGCAGCAATCTTGATCTCACTGAGTTCGTTCCTGACCCAAAGGGTTTTACCTGCTCCTACCATGAGTATTGCACGCTACAGGACAAGTAAGGTCGTTTTATTTGTACACGATGACCGGCTGTCTGCTGTCACTGAGAATTGGAAAGGCGCAGGGGCATAGTGACGCAAAGTCTGCGTAATAAGACTAAGCAAAACAACAGATGTACAATCAACCATTTAATTGGTCTGCAGTGGAATCACCCCTCCGGATCGTGGCCATATGGTAGAAAAACACCCGTACGAGATACTGATGTAATGCTGTAAATGATAGTACGCTCAAAACGCCTGCTGGTTTGCGTGCACGTGAAGTATAGGATAGTAGGATGTCTACGATGAACATTGAGTTAAGCAAAACGGTAGTTAGCTATACATTATCTGGGTGGCTATTATCGGAAAGGATATTAAGACTGAAGAGTAAACGCTAGCATAGAGGCTTACTTGCTATTTTGGAAAACATCAAGTGTACATCGCATGGTCCGCGTGTGGCTGCCGCTTTCAGGTCATTGTTTTGTGCAAGAGACGCGCGACTAGTGTCGCCAATTGTTTAACCATCACCTAATTTCTCTTAAGCAGCTGCAGGTACTGAGGCATTTGTCCTCTTATTTTTCCAACCTAAGTTACCAAGATTGGTCCAGGTTAGTGGTGCAGCTACTTAAGTAAACGATACACTAATTAATTCAGACCAGATTGGACAAAGAACTCTTGTAACATTGCCTGTACCAACATTGGAGTGCGGTGAGAGTGCATTAAAGAGGAACTCTTTATTCGTTGTTCGCATTTTGGTTTTGGATCCAGGGTACGCAATATGACACGTGAAGCGGTGTAGGCATGATTTTACAAGCTGAAGGAAGATTACTTGATTAGTTGGTGAATCGTATGTATGAGTGAAACATTGCATGGAATAGAATGACAACCAACCTGGAACTGAAGGAAGTCATTAGGTAGTTGAGGAGGACCGCTCATTTCAGCTGAACGCTCCAAACCCAAAACCAGTAAATCCAGCACAAGACTATAGTACTGCGTTATGAAGGAGGCAAATTGAAGACCGCGAATAATACCGTAGCTATTGGTGTGGTTCATATCTTTATAATTGATGACAACATTGTTCTTCGCTGTCATGTAATCGGCGATATTGTGGTCGACGATTAACCGGAGTAGACGATTCAGCAGAGTAAGATCGATCTTTTCGTATACCTTTTCAAACTTCGTCTCTAGAAGAACATTACACTCCCCTTCACTCGTTTCCCATACATCCTAAAATAGAAAGGAAAGTTTGATTGCCCGGTACGTGGGACGAAACAGCAAAAATGTTCGATGAAAGGAAATTCTGAACGCAACGATTCTATCGCAGCCAAGTGAACAGAAAGACAATGTCACGCTACGTAGCTGTCAATACTCATCGGTGGGTAGAAAACAGAGAAAAGCGCAACGACCGCTTATTGTGCAAGTACCTTGAGATTGTTGATCCCTTGACACCACTTGTAAACCAACAGTGGAGGAGGCTCCAAATCAGCGGGCTTAATCCATGGAGGAAACAGGCGTCGTTTGTCCGCTTCATACCATAAATACTGATCTAGGTAGGCATCCGTGATCTTCTCCAGCGGCTCGACGTCGTAGACAGGAATCAGATGGCTATATAAATCCATAAATTCAATACCAACTTCTTTAAACGCTCGTTGTGTGAGTAAGTGACGTTTGATGCGGCTCAATGCTTCGTGAGGATTGTCATAGGCTTGTTCAATCAGACCAAGTTCTTCACGCTGGGACTGATTCAACCTGTTTTTCACACTGTAAGATTCCCGTAGACGTTCCAAAGCCAATATTAGAAGTTTTGTATCGTGCTTATAACTCAAAGGAGGAAAGGGGATGGGGGAAAATCGGCGGCTCTCCAACCAGTGCACAGTGGTTGTGTAAATTGCGACAGCTTCCTCCGCAGTGACATAAGGTCCATCCTGTCAGGGTAGGTGAACAATTGACAAAGTTTACAGCAAGGTTGAAAAAAAATGAGGAGAGCACATTATACCTCCAAATTACAATGTTGCGGACAGCGTTACCTAAAAGATCAGCTTCGTGATCAGTCATGAAAAAAAGAGACGTCAATGTGTATGCCGGTGGGTTTCGCCGACCGTTGCCGCGTGACCATGTCTACGGCCCCGCGTCTACGCAGAACAGAAAGAAAATGTCGAGTTATAGGTGCAAAAGCAGGGTGAAGTTACCTTCAGGTAATTATGCTGTCTTTCCTGCTCCGCTTTCAAATAAAGCCGCGTGAGTCGACCCAAATTCTTCTTGCAAACCGTCTTGTCCACCGTAGCGCCTCGACGAATGCGCTCTCGATTGTAATGCGCAGTGTTGGTCCACCAATCTGCTTTTGCCTTGACGTACCGCAGGATCATGTTCTCAATCGGGATCGGCATATTTGGGACCTTATGGATACAGAAGGTTGATAAATTATAACTGTGACTGCGTACTAAGAGTTAAAAAAAACGTTCTCTGCGGCTGATAGAAAACGGTGAAGCGGAATAAGTAGTTAAGCAAGACCGAGAACAAAAATGGGTCGCCGAAGAAGCAACGCAGTGAGACATGGTCGCATTGTTTCTGCCTGACCAGGTATGAAGCAACAAATTCAAACACAGCACCACTAATGCGTGGCAAGAAATAAAAGATCCATGAAATAAGTTAAACGTCATGATGTTTGAGCAATGAACGGGGACAAGATACCAATTTACAAAATCAGTTGATTGAGAAAGAACACTGCATTCAAGTGGATCACACCTGTTATCTAGGTCCGGTGAAAAGCAACCAAGAAATAGGTTACTCATCGGGAGCACACCAAGTTTACTATAAATAGCAACGGGAGAAACAAAACTTTCAAATAAAACGGACGTTTATCTTCCCAACAGTACTCAGCCGTCAGAGAGCTTGCCTACTGGATGAGTAAGAAAGCTATCATACGTGTGCAATTGAATTACCTTCCATGGAATGTTAGCCTTCCAACAACGCCAAGCCTCACTGAGATGCTGAAGGATCGTTCTGGCTTTGTTCTGTTTGATACCTTCCGGCATCATGTCAAGGATGTCATGCATCACCGCAGCCCGTAACTCCAAGTCGTAGTGAGATTCGACACGTTGCTTTGTCACGGTCTTTGCAACGCCCTTAGAATGTCTACCTTCGAATTGGCGGGATAGAAGATTGCCCAACCAGCGCTCTAACAATGGGGTAATGCCTCGTAGGAAGAACAGCCAGACTCGCCAACCAGGAGCCCAGAAACCCACGCCGGGGCCTTTTCCGACAGGACCGGTGTTGAATCGATAGTAGATTACATGCTTCAAATCCTTGCACATCCGGATCTGACGCATGAGCTTGTACTTGTATCGATACATTCCGGTTAGCTGACCAACGTGAGCGAATATGTACTGCAATCCATCTGCCAGCTGCGAAAATGAGGGTATAGGTTAGAATAAGAGCTGGAAAATGGTACATCTGTCTGGTCAGAATATGCAGTCTCCTGTTATCAAGCTCAGCGCAAACAGATGCCGGCGAGCATTGACACAGTTGCTCACATGAAAGCAACGTTCTGGACCCCTGCGATATCATCATTCGACAGAAACTAGGCTGCAGAGAAGCTTACCTGAAAAGCATCAACATTTCCCAAGCGATATTGAACGTGACTGTCCACAATGAGTTTAGTAAGGCGCAGAATTTCTCTGCATAAGTGAAAGGCGTTGCCAAAACGTGACTTTTTGCGTTCCTTCGTGGTCAGGGTCTTGACCGGTTTCAGATTGAAATTGTAATCCAGATGTAAATAGTTGAGGTTTTTGCGATGTATTAGCAAATTGAGCATGTTGTAGCCTTGACGGCAGACCTGCAAGCCAACCTCTACCCAATCTAAACTTGTGGTCTGGAAGAATTTCGTGGCCTTGAAGGAGCGGAATAAGTAGCGCTTCTTTTGTGGCTTCGGACGTCGGTGATGCAGAGCATTGAGTACATAGTATTTCAAGAGCTTCTGGTAAGATACTCGGACCTAGGGAGAAATAGACGAGAACGAATATTAGTTACTTTCACAGGCATTCCGGCGGGGCAGTGTTCGCGATACCACGACTGAACAAGGGGGATATCAAGAGCTCTTCGGGTGGATCCAGAGCGCAAACAAAATGGCCTAGGAGCCCATAACAAAGCGATTCCATTGGCCGTGTTGTCAGTGTATAGTGGAGTTTCGCTGAGAAAAGGCCTCATCAGCTCCGGAAGTTCAAAGGTTTCATCGTCGGCTGGCAAAATTTCGGGAGCCTAAATGAAGAATGGATAAAAAAAAGCTCAACAGACCTTAACACCTTGTCTTTGGGAGATGGGATTAATTAGAGGATCGAAGTAGAAAGCGGGTAAATCGGGATCTTCTGTCTTGATAAAGAGCACATTCGGAGTGTGGTACCACGACAGATGCACTTGAAAAGGGTAACTATTGTACAAGTACGGGAAAGCGATGCGGTATTCCGTGCGAATAGGTTGACGGATAATTATCTTATTGATATCGTTGAATTCATTCCAATCCTCGTCTCTGCAAAGGGGTATTCGGGGCAAGTGTAAAAACTTACTCTAAGTTCTTGTCCTTGACCAAAGGTTCGAATTTAGGTCCACCAGGAAGGGCGACATTTAAAGCCTTCGCGGTGAAGAAAGACTTCAAATCAAACAAGTAGAAGTAATTGTCGTCCACCAAGTCGGTTAACAGAGAATTTGCCAGACGATACAGGTTAGACATGACATTTAGGGGGAGGTTCCAGCGTTTGTAGGTGATTCCATTGACATACCTGAGGGATAATGGTAGAGAAGAAGTGGAGGCAAGGCTCATTGTTTGAGAAAAAGGTTTAAAGGAAAGAATATAGAAACTTAACAGAAAAGCTATCGGACTGAGTAGTAGTCGCTCAGGTCTGATTTGAAGCCTCAACGCCCCGGACTCGAGACGCCACCAGTAGTGCCACTCGCGAATACATAGCATCAACACTAAATACTGGTGCATTGCTGATGTTTTGATCTTTACTCAACCGGACGTTTGATCGGTGTCGTGTGATAGAAGTGTGATGTGTAACTGATATGTAAGGTGCAGTAGTTTGATGAATATGGTCACCAGTGCGAAGTAGGTTCGGGCTTGAATTATAACCCGAATGCTGGAACTTCCCAAATGGCCTCTTTAGAATAATACTACGCGAAGATCGGCCAAACTTAACGGCTTTGGTGGCGCTGGTGAGCAAGACACATGGAGTGATCTTAGATAAAGGTAACATATTGCACGTTAAAAAGCTTAAAATGAATTGACACCAGCAGCGTTGCAGACCGAGCTAACATATACGAGAGATAAGATGGTAAAAAGTGGCTCATAGCTGGATACCAAGTCGGAAACAGCAAATGGTGTTCAGCAGAGAAACAATCGGAAACTAAATGCCGGACGCATTGCTCCCCTTCATCCACCATGCCACGATGATTATGACTCGATGACGGTCCCTTATCCGTTGAACACTATGGTATTATGTTGGCGCTGTCTAGTCGATAGACTGCTGAGACTATTACTACTAAGCCCTATTACTGAGATAATAATTTGCTTTACACAGTACCTTACGATGGTGGATTTTGTGGTCAAAATACTGAATTTCGGGAAGTTAGCAAATGGGTCTTAAAACGATATTCGATGTATCATTTTGTAAAAACGTGTATTCAGTGGAGTAAACATGGTTTTCCTTTTGAAAAGAGTGGTCAAACAGTAGTGCAAATCGGATAAACAGATCAAGTGGAAGTGTCTTTGGATGTTATTCTGGGTAGTTGTGTTTAACCAAAGTTAAAAATGATCAATAAAGCTAAATGCGAAAAGAAATAGCAAACCGGGACCTATAGGCATGTAAAATGGGTCATTTTCAGTATAAAATAGGAAAGTGAAAGTAGGGGGTCTGATTACAAGCCACATTGGCTTACTCAGATTCTGCGAGGGGATTTCGATCATAAAACCACTCAGCAATGGGACCATCCTCTTCAGGGTCAAGTTCCAATTGAATAGGTTCCAGCGGCTCGACGTCAAGGATATTATCCGCGTAGTCCAGCGGAGGCTCCTCATCATCAAAGGGAGGAAATCGCATTCTTTTGAAGTGTCGTCGATCTCTTTTCTCCCGGCGCATCATTATCCACATGCTACCCCACTGTGCAATGTAGATTGGTTCTACTACCCATGGGATTTCATTGACAAACGTGATAGCGCCAGTAATATGATACAAGACCTAAAGTAAAGGTTATACAGAATGAAATTACCTTCACGTCCCTAATTTGCTCCCATGGCATTGGCATGTTTTCCAAGAGCTTCAAAACAGCATGTGGCATGTACTTTAGTGCACCGAGGTAGACCCGTTTGTCATGTCGAAATTTGCGGTTTGTCATATCCCCGTGATCTCGAACTATTTTTCGCACATGTTCCGGAGGCATCTCTTCTTTCTGAGCCTCCACGAAGCCAAATTTTCGCTTTTCCGAGAATTTCTTTGACTGGAGTTGCTGCCATTCCCTCGCTAAGGACAGAGAAAAAACAAAAAGTTGAGAGCCACACAGAAAACCAAAAGTAAGCTAAGATCAGACGCATAAACGAGCATTTTAAGCAGATCTGGAGTAAATTGTTACATTCGTAAACAAATGTCATAAGGTGTGAATAAACGTGATCCCATAAACTGGTGCCCCGACAACGGTACGGAAGGCTGCGGTCATCCTCTGAAAAATAAATAAGCGTTGAATAAACTGCAGGTACAGGTAATACCTGAACAACGTCGCTAATGTCATGGGTTCTAGAGAATGTCTGTGGGTAAGGAAGAAATACTACCTCAGCCATAAAAAGACACCAGCATCACTGTAAGGTTATTAAAATAACGGTGCAGGGACCTGTCATCCTATGAGCGCGCAACTTAGAGCACTTTACAAGCCGAAACGGAAAGATGCGCTAGCCAGCTAGTAATAGTTTCAATTGACCAATTGTATAATAACTTGCTTCGTCTACGGAATCAATCAAAACCCAGCCCTTAGTTGGTACTGGTACCTGTGTTCTACATTGGATAAAGCAAGACTTCACGTACCAGCAGTTGTGGTTACGCTACAAACCCCTAGTACTATCATCAAGATCCAGATAGCCAGAAAATGCTAACATTTGATTGCAAAAATCCATCACCAAATGTGGCTTGGTGATGGAGGCAGGCAAGAGTTCGTGACCAGCCCAAATCGCTCACTGTCCAAAATAGTCCGTCACACAAACACCTGGTAATACTAAATAGTAGAAGTCATGTCAATGATGCTGGTTGTGTGCCATCCCTTGTCAAGTCTGAAACTAAGCAGAGGATCGTATGGCCTTCTACCTTGAGGAGGGAACAAGCCAGAAGTAACGAGTTTATCCGTTTCCATGGCTAAGACAACTTTAAATGGAAAAATTAATAATGTGTCAGCTGTAGGTCAAAACGACACCTCGCTGTTGCACGCGGACTGAGTATACCGCGAGGACGCCCACCCCAACGTGGATTCGAATCGGTGACCTTATGGCCCCAAACCAAGCGCGCAGATTCATCACCATCATCATCAACAGCAGTACATCAGCCATTTGAACTGATGCTTCGCTGCCATACAACCACGAGGACCTATGAAATATAGAATAAGAAGAGGGAGAGAAGGGGGACTTACCTGAAAACCTTAATGCCCTAAGCAAACATTCAGGGTCAAGGCGCCTACACCTTGTGTAGACAACATACCGTCACAAACAGCTGGCTATCGTGCAAAGATAAGGCGGCATCGGCGAGACAGCTTCCTTGCGGCTTTCACTGCCACGCGTCATAATCAGCCATTACCCCGCAGATAACTCAGCACCAACACACTTTAAACAGACAATCCGATTAGGAGACGGCAGCGGACGCGCCACTGGTGTCGGTTGCCAGCCATGTCCTGTAAAGTCTCGAGCCAAGCACAAGGTGAGTCACGTGGACTCCAACCCAGAAGGCGAGACGGACCAACGGCACCCAGTTTGGTCGTCAGTGACTTCATTTCCCGCTGCCAAGTCAACTACTGTCCACCTCGAGCCTTGCACCATCCTACACCTGGTAGACTACACACGGCCCTCCTAGGTAAGCGGTGACCAGGCATGCGTAGCACGTGCCCGAGCCAACGCAACTTATTCAGTGCTATCTGTTGTTCTAGGGAGCTAGCATGATTATCACCACCTAGTACTCGCCTACGCACATCATCGTTGCGGACACGCTGGTGCCATCCGACACCAGCAATGCTTCGCAAACAACGATGATCAAAGACTTGAAGGCGCCTCAGATCTTCAGACCGAAGAGGCCAAGTTTCACTACCATAGAGCAGAACGGCCCTCACTGTGGCCTTGTATACACGGCCTTTCAGACGGAGGGAAACTCCCTTCTGTCGCCAAAGATGACGCAGGTTCAAGAAGGCAGCTCTGGCCTTTGCAATGCGTGAGCTCACGTCGGTTTCTATGCGCCCATCATTGCTGATGCAGATTAGTCGGCCACCTGCCGAGAAAAATATGTAACTAAAACGCGATTGCTCAATTTGGATGGTTATTTCCTTTCCTCTGAACCGCAAAATGCAGCAGAGGTACTAGCAAAAATGTAAACTTGTCTGGATATGTACTTTCCCGTGTTTTAGGAGTAATTTTCACAAGATAAAGCAGAACTCTATCCTATCGCATGTAACCAAAAGCTTGGAGAAGTCGAGATATAGATTTGGAAAGACTAATAACTTCAGTTAGCTAAGTCAGTAAAATCAAAGGCCATCCTTAGAAAGGAAATGATCCTCAAAATTTTGCAGTGATGAGACTAGTGCTCCAGTCTCTTGCAATGAACCTAAGGAAACGACTAGATTGTTTCAACTTGAAGCATAAAATGCCAACTTACATTATGCTGTCTAACAATTGTCTTACCGTAGACCCGGCTCAGATATTTGAAGTGCTTAAGAACACTTCTCATCGTCTTTCACAGAGGCATGCAAGTCATCGACGGTAATAGCCTTTCTTAAAACTACTGATTTCCCCAATACTCTTGGATATGAGCAATCAAACATACGAATTCTGATCAACTTAATATGATCAGGCTCTTATCCTAGCCCATATAGAATACTATCCGCTGTGTGCCCTGATACCCGTGTACTACTGAAAAACATATATACGTTACCCATGGAGTCTGAAATTGCTCCCGATATGTGGAGATATGCATTGGTTACACCAAGATATAAAAATGATCCACGCCCCATATGTACGAACTGTCGGCCCATCAGCCATACCTCCACTATGTGTAGGACAATGGAAAGATAAAATCGTCTAGCTCCTGCAGTCTCGGAAGTTGATCAACACTTCCCCGCAGGGATTTCTGAAAATAGGTACATTTTCTAAACATTGTTACTCATTTAACTGATTGTGGCAAACGTAAAGGATTAGCTCGGGTACTGCATGGGAAGCTACTATTGAAAATATATTCCCTCGGTATAGCCAGTAAATATGTTTGGATTTCGTCGTACCTTTTTCTCGGCATCATGCAGTAAAAATACTAAGCAATACTTCCACAAAAAGACAAATCCCAAGCGGCGTAATCCAAGGATGTTTTTGATGTGCATCATCAACGTTTTCGATGTAAACAAACATGACACTGTTCACCTGTCTCACAACCTGTGATCTTCGGCTGCATCTCTCGAGCTCCGTTAATTTCGACGAACAGGTGCAGTTTGCAATTGCAAGAATCCGTAAACAGGGAGGACTGATACTAGAACCCTTCGTCTTGAAGGAGTCCAAAATTTACCCTTATAAAACTCGTATCTGTCCTTTATTAGAATACTGCTCGCTAGTGTACTCTAACCTGGGAAAAATACAGCGCTCCATCACAAAGCGTCTTATGAGAAAGTCTATGACTGTGGTTGTGAGATAAAAGTCGAACCCGTCTGGCTAAAATCCAGCCTGAGTTTTGTCTGAGGTGATCCATAAACGCGTCCCTACCTGAAACATCGACGTTCCTTCAAGCACAATATAATGAATAGACAACACGTTACCGATCAACAAATACAAGTTAGCTTAAGAACGAACATCTAAATCGTTAAGCAGTTATGTGAAACAATCAGTCAGATTATGAAATGAGATTCAGAGGGGTTTTCTATCATCAATGTCATCGACACAAGTGAAAAACCCAGATATTGTGTTGCAATACAAAAAAGACAAGATATAAGAAAAAAGATGCTAATCATTACAGAGCACAAACTAAGAAACGAATGATACAATATTATGCATCGAGAATGAGATGGTAGTTGGAGGGGGAGGCTAGGTAGGAGGGGAGACAAACAAAATCGCGACACAAACGGCACTGAGGTCGGCTCTTTGCAATGTCAACTAGTGTATCCAACCAAACGTGGTTATCGTCTTTGGGACCCCGGGCTGACAGTCAGGAGACATCAACCGATGAGAAGTCCAAAGTGAGGGTTTGCATTCATCCTAACCGAGTGATCGATTAGCCCCCTCTTCTTCTTCCAAGCAGAGCCCGGTCGCACAAACAAAGCAAGTGGACGGAGGCAGTGTGCTGGCTGCGTAGTAGGTGGCCCAGCTATTGGAGCCCGGTGTGTGATATAACGATGCTGAGAGGTTTATTTGCTCTTCCTGCACCAAATAGGAGACGCCGAACACGCCTATTCCTCACGCAGTGTTCCCACCAAACATGAACTACACTGAGAAGGAGCGATAATCGAACGTGGCTAGCCTTTTAATATCTATCTATTTGATGGGTAGCTGATTATCCTCTGCGACGATCAGAGCGTCAAACAGTTGCTTGAGATTGTTATAGTGTGTGGGTAAGATATAGTCAAGTTGCCCAAGCCTAAACAGGAGAACGATTAGGGTTCTAAAGCAAAGCCTGGCCATAAGACAGCAGTGCTTTGGAATTGGGCTATAGAGAGCACAATTTGTGGAGGAAGGAGCTACCGTCACCCCGAATAACTAAAAGATCGTTGAGGCACACAAGCCATTGCACCCCGTTAAGGTCTAGTTTCGTCGCGATGGAGGGGGTTTTTCGCAGCCTACTAAACAATTGACAATCAATAAAGTGACACTAAAAGTCGACGTATAAACAAGGCTTATGAAAAAGGACCCAACGCCACATAGTGAAGTCGCTGATTCGAAGACTCATCCTACCTACACATTTTCGATTTTCTTTCACCCTTGGTGCACCGGAACACAATGAGCTTGTGAGAACACACATGTATTGGCTTAGTTGAAAACATGGTACTAACTTCAATTAATGTTGTTTTGCTTACTTGTACTTCTGTGCAAAAACTAGTGACATGTCTCTAAATGCGCATGCGCGGAACTCATTCTAAGTATGCACCGAACTTTTCAGACGTTGCTTTGTTCCGCTTCTGCATTCTTCGCTGCACATGAACTTTCATAACACGCCAGACCAGTAAAACTCACTTTCGTTAGTAGCTCTCGTTCCTTTGAATCTACTTCTGATACTAGTTTCACCGATGACCAGAGATTTCG